AAACCTCTGGTTTTTCATTATGTCTCATCCTTATTTACAGAAAGGAATATGAAGGACTTTGTCGAGGGATAAAGACTACAGAATTCTGCCCTTGTCCTTAAATAACATGTTGATACAAAGATACAAATCCCAGTTCCCTTCACTAGTGTTTAGTCTAGCCTTTGATAATTATAACATCCAGAGTGGCCCGAAGTTAAAGAAAAATATTCTTTTCTTTTCTCTTTGTTATTACTTCTTGTTAAATTTAGGGGGGCATCTTATAGAGACAGTTGGTTATGCAAAAGTTAAAGGAACAAAAGTAATTCCTCCTCCCTAACCATAAAAAGGCTAAATAAATCATGGAGGCCATCTCCGGTCATCCTGATCTACATCTCACCACTGGACCCACATGGCTCTGGAGGAGAAAGTGAGTTTGGTGACTTTGCACAGCCCTCCCTCACTGAAATCCAATTCACTTGCAAGTCATGGCATCACCTCCCTGATGTCATGGTCCACTTTGAGAACAAAGGACAAACAACAACAAGAAGAAGATAAATCCCAGAGATCTCAGAGGTTATCTAGTTTAGTTCATACCTGGACAAAAATAACTTCTACAATATCACCCACAAATGGGCATGCAGTGTTTGATTTAAGACCTTCAGTAAAGGAGACACTACTACTGGATGGAGGGGATAAAATGCTGGATGCATTGTCAAGAAAACCTGAATTAGAATTCTATCTTTGACACAGTAATTATGTGACTGTTACAAGGCTGATGCTAGCCCCCGAGGAGACCCAGTGATACATCTCATACATGCAAAACACCAATATATCAAGTAAAGAACAAAAGCCTAGAATGGATAAATATTAACTTGTATAAAATATCTAGAGTATACTGAGACAGGCTTGGAAGAAATCAGAGTTAAGTCAGAAATTTAGATCATGAGTAAAATAAACGGCAACTACACACATTTTGCTAAAATGTTACTCCTGAGCCTTAAAGTCCTTTGTCTATTGAATTATAACTGTCTCTATAGAAGGGCTAGCCTCTGGGCTCTGAGAAATTTGTAGATAAATATTTCACAGAGTCCAACCAAGGTCATGGGACAGGACCTAATAAATCTATAGTCAAGCATGTTTCTAGTCAGACTTCATCCTCCCTCCCTTCTCTCTCCACCTACTCAACCAAATTCAGGGCTTAATGTCTACTTCAAAGTCTACTTCTAAAACCTTGCTTACCTACCAAATACTACCCCAGAGCTACTGAGAAGCAAGGAAAACTGAAGGAACATTCTTAGTACACATCAGAGATGGAGATGATTGTGTGAACAAGGGTAATTTGAGAAACCAGTGCTAATGCATGTACGTATAGGAGCTGATCTGATGCCACAGGATGCACAGTGGAGGTCCAATATACTGCATCCTCTAAACCAGCCCTCTCAAGGCTTTGGTCAAGCTAATAATAATACCCTTCAATAAACCTCTAGGTGTGGAATATATTTGTTCTCGGGCAATTTATTTCCTTAAAGAGACTGTACTGTTAAATATAGTAAATCAAGGAGGGTTGGGAGGAGGGAAGTATTTGATCGATTTTCTTTTACATTTTAAGAAATTATTCTAGACCCAAAATGGTACTAATTTAATGATCGTGGGCAAGTCTGACACATAATAAGCACTTAATAAATGCTAGCTGACTTACTGACCTCTTTCAAGCTCAGTTTTCTGATCTGTAAAATGGAGATATTTACAGTATTTATCTCACAGGGTTATTTGTGACTCAAAAAAAAAATTAATGTAAAGTACTTTACAAATCTTAAAATGGTATATGCAAGTGTCAGCTATTATCTCCTGAGACACGTTCCATTTTTTAAAAAACAGATTTAAGTCACACAAAGAATTTTTTCCCCTTAAATAAAGTAAAAATCTACTTCTCTGCAACTTCTACTCTCTGCCAAAGAGAACAAGATTTATCCTTCTTTCATCTTAAAAGGGCTTTTATGATAGCCCTTTAAATACCCGAAGATAGGTGCCATCTTTCCCTCCAGGCTTTGCCTTCCTCTGTTACTCATTCAATTGTTCCTTTAAAGCACTACTCAGGTGACATGCTCTCCAATCATTTCATCACCATAATTGCCTTCCCTGGAATACAGTCTGTATTGTCAACATCCTTTCTAAAACATCACTCCTGAAACTGAACAAAATACTCGGTATGTGATCTGACCATGGCAGAATATGGACAGTAGGGATGCTAACCACCTTTATTCTGGATACTGACTGGGGCAGGTAGGTGGTACAGAGGATAGAGTATTGAGCTTGGAATCAAGATGACCTGAATTCAAATCCAGTGTCAGATAATTATTAATTGTGTGACCTGGGACAAGTCACTTAACCTCTGTTTTCATTTTAATAAACATTTATTAAGCACCTCCTATGTGCCAAGCACTGGGCGTACAAAAAGAGGCAAAAGACAGTCCCTGCTTCAAGGAGCTTATAATCTAAAGGGGGAGACAACATGCAAACAAATATATACTATACAAAGCAAGCTACATCCTGGATAAATAGGAAACAATTAAAAGAGGGAAAGCACTAGAATTAAGAAGGGTTAGGGAAGACTTCCTGCAGAAGGTGGGATTTTAGTTGGGACTTAAAGGAAGCCAGGGAAGTCAATAGTCAGAGAGCAGGAGGGAGAACATTCCAGGCATAGGGGACAGCCAGAGGAAATGACCAGAGCTGAGCTGTAAAATGGGGATAATGATAGCACCTACCATGCAGGGTTGTTGTGAGAAGCAAATGAAATAATATTTGTAAAGCCTGGCACAGAGAAGGCACTTTGCTGGTTTCCTTCCTGCCTTCTTAATACAGACCAGTATAATGGTAAGCTTAAATATAGTCTTGCACTAGCAATTTTGGCTGCCATGACACACTTGACTTATTTTTAACTACCCTTCTCTCCAGGATTTTTTTTTAAAACTATTACAGCATCTCATATCCCAATCCTGTACTTGTGCAGGGGAGGGTGTATGGGGTATTTAGGGAAGATAAGCACCTCTGGTGTGAGGCTTGCCAAGGCCTTTTCAGGGTTGTTCATCTACCCATCACCCAGCTCTCACTTGTGGCACCAAGAAGCTGTAGCACGCAAAGCAGCCACAACCGTCTTGACAGAAGAGCTAAACCACACTGAGGGTAACCAATAGGTCTCAAACCTGTCTGAGTTAGGGGGATGTCTACCCCAAAACATATGAAGACTTCCCCTGGCAGAATGGGTGGATGAGAACAATTTGTTCCAAATACCATAAAAGAGGCTAAAGCAGGTACTGTGGAGTCCTTAGAGCTTGGTCAGACATCCAAGATGCTAAAGTCATCCACTGGATCCCAGGCCATTGTCAGCCATCTTGATTTTCATCTTGCCACTGGACTTTGATGACTCAGGAAGAAAAAGTGTCAACGCTGCCTCACTTAAATTCAATTCAGACATGAGTCAAGATGTCACCTTGTAATGTCATTGGTCTTGAAAAATGAAGGACAAACAACAATAATATCTTGTATAGGAACAAAGGTGTTTTATTCTACTGATCCTATTTATCCCTATTAAATTTAGTCTTATTCAATTTAGGCTATTATTCTAGCCTGAGTAGGTCTCCTTGGATCCTAAGCCCTGTTGTTGTTGTTTCATTTCAGTGGTATCCTGCTCTTTGTAACCCCATATATGGGGTTTTCTTGCCAAAGTTTACCATTTCCTTCTCTAGGTCATTTTACAGATGAGGAACTCTGACAAATAAGGTTAAGTGCTTTGCCCAGGGTCACACAGCTAGTAAATATCTGAGGCTGAATTTGAACTCATAAAGATGAGTCTTCCTGATTCCAAGCCCAGGGCTCTACCTACTGTGCCACCTAGCTGCCCAAACTCTGTGATCCATTCCAGACTAATGACATCTGCAAATCTGATAAGGATGACAACATACTATCTACGCTTTCATTCAAATCATTGATAACAGTGTTGAAGAGCATGGGATCAAGGCACTCCTGAGTCATTTTTCTTCCTCCAAGTTGACATTGACACCTTAATGATCACTCTTTGAGTCCGGTCAGTTAGTCAAGTCCAAATTCAGCTCATTGCACTATTGGTATGTAGATATCATATAATTTATAATCAACCAAGTCAACTATAATTTTAAGTCTAATTTATATCAACTAATATTCTAATCTAATTCTCTTTAGTTATGAAGACCTGACCTTTACATAGTTTTTAATGGCTTTTTATCAATCAATTACAAATGATATAACACAAACATGCAATTATCTGCTAAAACTGTTCTCCCCCCAAAAATACATTATTTTGTATAAGATACCATGCACAATATGAAATGCTGTAATAGTTTTTAAAATGTTATTTCAAATGAATCAAAATTAATTTGATTTGAATCATCAAATGAATGAATTATTCATCAATAATCAACTGTAAATCTTAAAATACCACACAAATTATAGGCAACTTCATAATTGCTATTTTTCTTTACACCTAAAATTACCATGAATGGTTTAAGTTCAATAGCTTTAAAATCTTTTCAAATATCCCCAGTTTGTTTTAATAACTTAAATAAGATATACATATTATTGATCAGAGAAAAGAAAGTTTGTTTCATTCCTTTAAAGCAATGGAATCAAACTCAAACAGAAAGAAAGGGAGGCACTAAATTATACATAAGGACCCCTGCAGGTCATATATCGACTTAAAACACCACATATTAACACTGTGTTCTACTGCATTTTTATTTAGTTTTTTAAATATTTCCCAATTACATTTTAATCTAGTTCCAGCCACTCCAAAGTGTTGCTGGCCTATTTCTGCTTTAAAGTATGATTTTATTTTTTTAAATGATCAGAAAAGCATGTATGCCAAAATGATTTGCCTTTTTTTTGATTGGTTCTTGATCTCCTCTATACCTAAGAAGATGGTTATTACTCATTGTGTAAGATTAGACTCTGTGAAGTGTTCATAATATTAGATACTACTGTGTTACCTGAAACCAGAGAAGAGTCTGCAAATGATGATTCCAATTCATCACTTTCAACAGTTAGGCTATCATTTTCGTGCTCTTGACGATCCGATAAAGAAATAAGTGTCTCTTCGATGACATGACCATCCTTTGGGGATAATTTCTCAATGCCATTTTCCTTAATCTCTGTTTTTTGAGCAAAAACATTAAAATGCAAATGATATTTCAAGACAAGTTGCTTTTTGTAGACAACATATAAATTTCTATCTCTAACAGAAACATTTCTATTAAGTAACATTTCTGTTTAAAATTGAAGTTTAGTTTAAAATGCTTGTCTTTTACTCAATTTACAAAAGCTAGGATCATGTATTTTAACCTTATAAAATATTTATCCTCCATAACATCCCACTCAAGTTCCTCCTTGTGGCATGGATTGATCCTGGGTTTCAAAAGGCTTTATCACTGTAGCTCATGTTCTGGAAGCTGCTACTAAGCTAGAAAGGTTTCAAGTAGGGTGGTGGTAATAGCCTATTTCTGCCTTCCAAGACTAGCCTAGCTAAGTACAGTGAGACTCATCACCACTGGGTGTGGTAAAACTTAGTGGCATTGTTTGAACCTAACCTTGCCTGGCTGAGAAACCAGACCTGTTTCCTAGAGATCAGATTTATTTAACGTAAAACTCAGGATGTAAATTATATTGTCTAGAAACCCAATCAGATCTGAAGACTGATGGATGGAACATGAGGAGTTTCCTCTTGCTATACTTCTTAAGGAATCTGTGTGTCTTATCTGGAAACTGCCCCCATGCTGGCCAGTCAGCTATTGTTTCCTCGCTCCTTTGTTTGAATCTTATATAATATGTAATTTATGGACCCTGGGTGGGGGGGAGCACCCTTTTTTTGCTCTCCTCTCTAGCCAGACAACTTAATAAACTTCTTTCTAAATGATTTAAGTTCTTAGTTTTGTTCCCTGCTGCATTATGTGGTGGACAGTTTGTGTTGAATTCTTTGGACACTGCAATCAATGAAATGATGAAAAATACAAAATAGCCCTCAATCCAGTGTGACTCACTTCCACTTGAATAGCAATCAGGAGAGAATGGTGCTAAATTGGGCAAAGAGTGCCAAAAACCATGCCATTTCTTGGATCATATCCAATGTCCTGGTATTCTAAATCTGAGATCTTGTCCAGGGACAACAACTTGACAGAGTACTAGAGTAAATGTATCATAAATATTGACATTCTCATTACCAATGAAACCAGAAGACAAAAGTACATTCCAGCTGAATGGAAGGATGGCTTCCTGGGTTTTCTTGAAGAGACAAATACAGGAGCTGCTAACAAAGTTGGTTTTATTGTATATCCAAAGGCAACAAGAAATATCATTTCATGGGACATTTTATCATCTTATATTTCAATGTTCACAACAGGCATTTGCAAAAAGAGCACCATTAAAATAATTGCAGTTTGTGCATTAGTATTTTTTATAGACAATAAGAAATCAGAGGCATTCTACAAAAATTCCATAGGAACCTCCAAATTTAGTCAACATCTACTTTAATGCTCAGTTACTTCAATGCCAATGCAGGCATAGGAAATGACAGCAAAAAATGTTGGGAAACATGGTTCAAGGGTAAGAAACAAGAAGCAAAAGGTGTGTAGAACATAAAGAATCCTTGTACCTACGTATCATTAGCAGTTTCTTCAAGAAAAGAGTCCAGAATGCAAGATAACTGAGATACCACATTTGAATTCTAACATTATAGTCCATTACAGTAACATGAGGCCGTAACTGAGGAAATAGAATCTTATTAAAGGAAACAAAAATGGAAGAGGAGGCTGGCCAAACTAAGATACTCAGAGTTGCACTGTTCTAGAAGCAGCATAATTCCGAAAATGTTGGGGAAGTAAATTCTCAAAGGGTTCCAAAAGATGATTCCAATTCATCACTTTCAGCCACTGAGAAGGTTATGAAGTTCCATGTGTGAGAAACAAAAAAGATCAGGTTGGCTGGACCTTATTAAGTGGGAAGAGGTATATATTTAATAAAGCCAGAAAGATAGGATGGAGTCATTATAAAGTGTTTTAAAAGCCAAGAAGCATAGTTTGTATTTTATCTGACAAGTCATAGGGAACCACTGGAATTGATTGATTATAGGATTGATATAATTGGATCTGTATTTAAAGAAAATCACTCTGATAGTTCTATAAACCATGCATTGGAGTAGGGATAGACGAGACAAGGAGACCGATTTGGAGTTTACTGTAATAAATAAACCAGGAAAGAAGTGATAAGGACCTGAACTAATTTGGTGGCTGTATGAGTAGATAGAAGGAACAGATTGAGAGATGTTATGTATGTAGAAATGGCAAAATTGAGTAAGTAATTAGATATATTGAGTGAGGGAGAATGAGGTGTGAAACATAACTGAGATTAGGAACCTGGCAAAATGCAAGAATAGTGATGCCCTCAACAGAACTAGGGAAATTAGGTAGAGGGGTAGGTTTGGGTGTGAAAGATAATAAATTTGATTTGATGTCACCAGCACAAGAACAACTGAAAACAAGAGGATCAAAATGAATTTGAGATGTCACCAGGACATCCAGTGAGAAATGTCCAATCAGAGAGGTGGAGGCTGGCTGATTTTTTGAGCTTTGAGTGTGAGCTGCAATAGCCTACCTTAATTAGCTGTCTGGGTTGCCTAAGGAGGGCCAAACAGTCCTAGGTTGGAAACAGAAGAGGTCAAAGCTGCTTTTCTAATCAATGGTGGTCTTGGGCTTCAGAGTAGCCCTCGAACTTTCCACTTGGGTGAGATGGGAGACCCAGTCTTAAGTTTAGGGTGTGTATGTGTTTTAAGGAAATGTCCTCTAGGCAGTTAGTGATGCGGTACTGGAGTTCAGGAGAGAGAGCAGCAATTCACATCTGTGAGGTACCTAAATAGAGGGGATAATTAAAACTACAGTAGCTGATGAGGTCATCAAGAGGAAAAATGTAAATAGAGAAGTGAAGAAGGCCTAGGACAGATCCTCACTGTTAAGAGACATGATATAAGAAGCCAGCAACAAAAACTGAGAAGAAGCAATTAGGCAGGGAGAAGATGTGGCACAAAATTCCAAAGAGAAGATCTGGTAAGAGGGGACAGTCAATAATGTTGCAACAAATGCATCAGAGGTCAAGGAAGACAAGAACTTAGAAAGGAACATTAGATCTGGCAAATGAGAGATCACTAGTACTTTCAGAGAAAGGTGTTTCAGTTTAGCAATTAGTCTGGGGTCAGACTGCAAAGATCTCTTGTGACTATATCAAAATTACACAATACTCTTTGAAATATTTAATAGCTGTTTGTTAAAAAAAATCTCTGGATATGAATATCAAGCATGATATGAATTGGGAGAAAGATGCTCACTGGAGATTTTTGCCATTTGTTGTCAAAGGTGTCAGAAGTTTAATCTAAATACAAGTGGTGTTCCTTATAGATGGGGAAATCCTTTTATTTTCTGTTGAAATTGTGCTGATGTCATCAAGCTTCAGAAGATTGTGGAGCCTTCTAAATGACCTCCAAAATCACTCAAGAGAATTGATCTAGCCATCTACTCAGGAAAAACCCAAGTGGAGAAAAAGAAATTTTTGCCCTGATTAGAACATGCTACTGAATAGACAACACACAGAGCTGGTCCATTGATACAAAATTTTAAAAGAACCTATAAATGGAAAATGAAATGGAAATAGAATAGAATACTAGGGAGATAATTGTCCAGAATGCCTTTGGAAATTTTTAAACAACCCCAATCTTTCAATGCTTTCAATGACCCCAATCTTCTTTCAATGATGTTGGATAAGGGAAAGTTATAAACTGCCATAGCCTCCAAAGAATTAAAGTTGTTGGTCACCCAAAGGATAATAAACAGATATCTGTGGTGGGCATGAGTAGGCTGCAACATTCAACCTACCAAAAAACTGTACAAGAGAAGAATTGCAAAGGATACCATCAGAAAGATGTATAATGGAAAATTAGATGAGTCATATAGCAAGATCCAGGTATACTTAAATGAAAAGTTCATGTGACCTAATCATATCCATGCAATGTCAAATGATTTGAAGAAAGATTTCCCAACATGTTGGGTGGTACCTCTGTGAAAGATTTAAGAAGGAAAATGGACAGGATGCAGGAAGTATATAAAGTTGCGTTGGGTTGCTACCATACTGTTGAAGGCAGCATGTATGTCAATGCAAAGATCCATCAAAGTATATAAGTAACAGTATTTATATTTTTAATAGGGATGTCCTTCATTAATGCCTTACTACAGTGTCTCATTATAGCATGGGGTAATCTCATGTTCTTAAAGGTTATGGCAAACCTCTAGCTCTGATAAGTCTTACCAAGATGGTGAGGCTTGTTGCATTGACCTATTGAATACATGTCTTGTCCAAGGATCAACATAGCTAAGTTTGTAGCAGAACATCACCATAAATTTGATCACTCAGTGATTATCTATTTATTATTTGACTGCTAATTCATGGAAATGTGGAGAAGCTGTGATCTGCCTCCACAGGACCGATAAAATTATGGAATTATATATATATATATGTATATGTATATGTGTATATATATGTTTGTATTACATATATACATATATATAATCACTAATAGATATGTAAACAACCAAAGGGTATGTAAGATCATATGAGGAAAAGTTTAAAAGCAAAGTGAATTATCAATTTTCACCCATGTTATTTATCTATAATATAAGCATTATCACACACCTTTGTTAGTTTGTGTGACTACATAGTATTCACTGTTCCTACAAGACAAAGTCAGCAAAATTTTTGTTTATATTTCTAAAATGTAAACATATTAGACAAAAAGAATACTGGAATGGGCAATGAATACTTCTAGAAGTAGTCTAAGAAAGTGGTAAGTAGTGAGAAAGCCTAAGTTCAAGGTACAACTCTGCCATGCAGTGTTTATATGACCTCGGCAAAATCATTTCCCTTTGATGAACCCATTTCCTTACCTGTAACCTGTGAATAACTTTCTCTGTTTACCTAACAAGATTTTTATGAGGATAGAATGAGATGATATCTTTAAATATATCTTTAAGATATTTTTAAATGAGACGATATCTTTAAATTGATGAGGCACTATACAAATGTCATCTATTATTTTCACCATGTGCCTAAATTT